CTAACGTTATTCCTAGGATGCTACAACTATCGCATAGACCAAGTAAGCGTTCTCTTTTTGGTGGTAGAAGGGTATAGTTTTAGGTTCCCTAGCTATCCCGATCTCATCAGGACGTGTGTTAGTTATACTTTGGAGAGAGTGTAGTTGATCAGGCTACATCCACTCCTTGGTACCACTAAGAACAGTCCTGAATTTAACCGAGATACTAGTATTATTTTTGTTTGGTTCGGCGTTATGTTCCTATTCCTAATGCAAGCAAGGGTGTTTTATTTACTTGTTTTGTTCAGAGTTATGTTAGTCCCTCTTTTTGGTTTATAGTTGCATATCAATGTGTGGCTAGACATGCTAGTTCACTATAAACAAAGCTCTGATACCAACCTGTCACACCCCCGAACCAGACGGCGGAAACGTCCGGGGGCTGTCGTGACTCAATTGAATACCATCACAATGAATATATATGAAACATAACATCAATCATTACCAAGCATTTGAATATTACAACCGATAGAATTAACATCCATTACATCGTTACCAAAATATTACATGCCCAAAAATAAAATTGTTTGTTGTAAATTAAACACTCGCAAAACATCATAGAGTAAAATTCCTTCTTCACTTTACCTGGTACCTGAGAATACAAGTATTTTGGAAAAACGTCAACATATGAAATGTTGGTGAGTTCATAAGTAATGTTTAAAATCCAATGTTTGTATTGTTTTGAAAACCACCAGAAAATCCGATATTTTCTGAAAATAATATAGCGTAAAAAAAATATGTGAAGATCCGTGAGTATGCTTGTTTGTTTTCTATAGATGTAAGCGTACGAGTTGTAAAATTCGGCATGTAGTTCGTAAGTGTATTAGTTGAAAACCCTAGGAAAACCCGACGTTTTCCTATCACTTTGCTTTAATTAGTTTATGTGTTGTTGTTTCGTTACGTTAGAGGTATTCGTTGAGCTCCGGAGGCATTGGGTATACAGTGGGTTGTGAATTGTTGTAACGTACGTTAATGAAAACGTCCAGTTGACAACCGTACAAGCGATCCCTTAGGCGTCGCTCGCACTTATTCACATAACCCAACCCTCCCGGACTTGTGTAGCCCCACGACCGAAGGGAAAAAGAGAAGGTGCGAAACCCTCGGTATTTCCCTACGTCGTTCAAGACCATAGCGAATGCGAAGGGCCCGAAGCCCAACTCGCAATCGTGAGTTCCCGACTTTACTAGCAGTACCGAAGGACCCTTGGGGACCAGCAGCACGTTTGCCATTGAAAGTCCTTTTACACGAGGTTAAGTCGTATTAGACCCAACTACATGTAAGTAAGTATCCTTTGGGCCTAAAGATCATGTCATCGGGCTAGCTAGGCCCAACAAGCATGATTTGAAACTTTTGGGCCTAAGGAAGGTACGTCGACGTATTGAGTAGTTCCACGAGAGTATAGAGTTCCGAGAGTTCCATGTGTGTATTGAGCGTCGTAGTGTTAGTGGTTTCGGATTTGTTATTGATTCGAGACCGAATCAATTCGTTTGATAACGATTGTTGGTGATATTGTGTATTGTAATTCATCGAGAGTCGTAGTGTCAGTCTTTGTTCACAACGAGTGTATTGAATTATCATTGAAAATTTTCTGTTTACAACCCCTCTTTATTTTGTAAATTTACTTTTTCACCCCTTTAAGTAAATTAATTTCCGGTTTAGTCCTTAAACCATTTTTCTTGGCATTTTAACATCAAAACTTAATGAAATTGATATTTTTCAGCACCTTTTTAGTTGAAAACAGTTTTAGACCCTGAAAATACAATTTTCTCGGTTGTAGCCCTTCATTTCGCAATTTTTACACTTTTGGCCCAAATTGGAAAATTTTTGCAACTTTGGTCCTTTTTAACTATGGAAAGCATTTTTGACCTTTGAAAAGTACTTAGAACACTAATAACCCACTGTTTTACAGAAAAACAAGGTTCAGCCCCTCAAGTTTGGGAAATTTCGCATATTGGGCCCTATTGGGCCGAAAATGTCATTTTTAACCCATTAAGCTTGAAATTTATGTTTTTAATCCTCCAAAAGAGTATATTTTCAGAAAATACGTTATGGAAACTGTTTTGACTCATCTCACCCATCAGATTTCGAAATATTTCATTTTGGGCCCTTCAACTTTGTATTTTTAACATTTTATGTTTAAAAAAAATGAGTTTTTAGCCCAAAGTATGTGTTGTTAAGCCACTTAGCTATTTTTCTTGGTATACTTTGTATGTAGTAGTATATTTTATACTAGTATCATTTAACATAAAGTATATCTCGGTTTTTAGTGATTCATGACTAGATCCAACATCATAATCATACAAAACACACATATAAGCATAGAAATCATACAAGGCATACACATAATGATAGATCTACACATTTGCTTGTATTCTCCCCCACAAAAACTTATAAAAACCGAAAATAAGGGGGTATGAAGCTCACCTTAGGGGGTAGTTTCGGTTCTTGAAGAAAAGATGGAAGAAAACTTGGTGATTTTCGGCCCTAGCACCCCTTGATGAAGATCTCGAGTTTATGGAGTTTTCTAGGAGTATGATCACCAAAGAAACTTGTTTAGAATAAGAGATCTCATGTGAGAGGGAGTTTTGAAGCTTAGACATGGAAAAACTTACCAAAGGATGATGATAATCTTGAAGAATCCTCTTGAAACCCAAGCCAAATTTCAAGATTTTGGATGGAGAGGGAGGATAGTTCCTTGAGTAATCTAGAGAGAGTTGTGAGAGATTTGTGTGTGTGTGTGTTTCGGCCGAGAGTGAGTGAGAGGGAAAGGAGAAATGATCTTTGAAGTGATATGTTCCTAGGAGTATGGGATGTGCATGGAAACATGTGTTTGCATGGAGATCCATGGGAAAATAAAGAGGTGGCAAGCAAATAGTCAACTCTTCTTCATCTCTTCTTGGATGTGGGCCTTGGGCCGAGAATTTTGAAGAAAAAAAAGAAAATTTGGGCTTTTTGCCCCTAAGCCCAATATTAGAGTTAGTTAGGGTGTTCATTGGCCTTATAAAATAAAATTGTGATTTTCATGCTTTATTAAGCTAGATTAGGTTAAATCATGGATCAAAGCTTTTAATTCATTTCATTCTAGGCCCAAAATGACCCCAAAATGTTGAATTAAATTGATGTGGGTCCAATTAGAGCCCATTTAAGGGTTCTAAGCCCATGATAGTCAAATTGGAAGCTTATTGGTCCATAGAGTCCAATAAGGAAGTCCTAGTCCAAAATGGACCTAATCAAGAACTTCTAGGGTTTCCAATTGCTTGATGTAGTGAATTGGGGTTTAGTTTTCCATTGAGTAAGCATCATACATGCTCTTGAGTTTTTGAATTCAACATTTACTTGAGTATAGTGATTTCAAGACACAAAATTTCTAGTTGTGACATGCTTATATAATGTACATGATTAGGGTGAAACCCTAATAACCCATGACCTTTCCTTTTCCAAGGATCGATGGGTTAAAAGCTCCATAGATCATCCATGGACTTCCATACAAGCCTAGCCCATTAACAAATGAGTGTTAGCCCACACCATATAAAACCAATAGCCCACAATCTAATTTGTCTTCCTTTTAATCTCTAAATTAATTCATAATTAATTCAAGACTAAGACTAATTAAATAACATGACTTCATATTAATATATTATAACTTACAATATATTAATAAACATATGTGTATAACTCTCATAAAATTATCCATAAATAGTTTGGATGAAATGCAACCCAAATGGACCATGCCGGGTCGGGTCAAGTATGTACCAAATAAGTTATGGACTTAGACACCTTATCCAACAGATGTGTCACGGCATGCATATATGCATGGGCGTGTAAAGGTCCCAAAATCCCTTTGACAGGGGAGCGTCTAACCTGGGAGCTAGCCATCACATTATACCTTATCCCTCAAATAAGGCAATAGGAGTACCGATGTAGTTATTTATTACAAATACTACAGTACTTAGAAGAATTACCCTAGACTTGAGGTAATTGGTACGGTTGTAGTTCGACACTACACCATAGTACTATTTCATTTTCACATTACATTCACTTCGTGAACACTCACACGACGCATGGTAATGTAGAAACTATATTTTTGGTTAATGATAGTCAGACTTGGGAAAATACACACTCTTACAAGAGACACACACACAGACACTAGATGCCTTGGTAGAAGGCTACATTTAGAACAGTTAAGTCTTGGTAGAAGACTCCCTTTTAGAATGGTAGGAATCATAGGGATTTCTAGGGTTTTTCAAACGTTACAGTTGTTTTACAAACATTTTCATACTTACAATTCATATACATTTTTAATACTTATAGTTCATATACATACAAATACTTACATATAAATTAAGACACTAAAATACTTATGATCTCACCAGTTTTAAAGTTGATACTCTCTTTCAAATAACTTGTATCTTCAGGTCAACCATAGACGGGTACCGATGCAAGGTTTAGAGAAGATGGAGCCCGTTCAAGACTCAACTTTCATTTTGTTTATACTTTAGTGTCTATTATAATTTGACAGAACACACTTGTATTAAAATTATATTATTAATGCAATGGATGATGTTATTGCTTGTTTACTACTTTTCATTGTTGTGATACTGTACATGACGTCCTCCGCCCCAGAACGTTTCCGTCGTTCATGGTTTTGGGGTGTGACAGATGCACTGGTTTGTTCCATCATTTTTTCTTTCCAAGCATATATTGCTGTTTCTAGTCTCTTAATAGTCTTAATAGTAGCCTGTTTAGATTTTATGTTGAGCAAGTTGAGCATCCTGATGGCTGTATAAGAGATTATATTCGGTGTTTTATAAAGATCATCACCATGGCTTGCCTTTCCAGACTGCAACATATTGTAAATCAACAAAGAAAAAATTTGAACAATAATCACTACAAACCTAAGTACACATCGATCGCTTCCAACATTAAATTAAATGGTGCAATATGGCTAGTATCAAACTCGATTGTGAAACATGGGTGTACAACAGAGGAATTTGCTAAACCTAAGTACACATTGACCTGTTAAGGAACTGGGATCTGAATCTGAAGCGATGAGGTAGACGATACCCTCCCCCAATTGGTGACCACCACCCACCTTCTTGTCGGCCATCCATTTGCAAAGTAAACACCTCCATCAGAGTTTCCACACAATATGGTTCAAACCCACCAAACTGTAACGAGCGGCTTGCCATTTTCTTTTTTTGGAGGTGTGTATTGCGGGACTCTGTCAACATCATCTTCTCTACAGTCTCTCCGGCGACGGTGCGGTTGTAAGAGATGAACATTAAGACACCGCCAGAAGATGTACGACACCGAGATGCAGGAGAATCTGGAGACGATTTCAAAGGGAAATGTCGGATCTAAACCTCTATTGAAGGAAGATGCTTGGGGTGCAACAGGGGCTTTTTAGACAGAAAGATAGGGGGTTGTGGTGGTCAACTGAGTCTCTAAACAAATGTAACAGATCCTCTGTTATACCGTCTTGTTCTTGCTAGATATTGATGGTGGATGGGGATTATTGGTTTATTTGCAAATGGGTCATTGAGAGAGAGAGAGAGAGAGAGAGAGAGAGAGAGAGAGAGAGAGAGAGAGAGAGAGAGAGAGAGAGACCCTTTTATTTTTTTATTGTTTAAATAAAAAAATAATTATTAGATTTAAGAAAAATGAAAGAAAAATAGAAAATAAATACCCCAAGGGTATTAACGTCATTTCAGTAGTTTATCGAAGGATCAAATCCGCAACGAAATTAATTAAAAAAAACCAGTAATCCAAAAAAATCAGGGTTTAAACTTAAAAAAAAAAAAAAAAAAAAAAGCATCCATCTGTGGCTTAGCAAGACGTCAGCCGCTACTTCAGTTTCCTGCCTTTTCGAGCAAGAAAAGAGGGTTTATGCTTATGCTTATGCTCGTTGTCTAATTAGGTGTATCTCAAGAAAATTCTCTGGTTAGGGTTTATGCTCACATCTAAGCCTGCGGGAAATGGGATAGAAGTTACACACACATATCAATTCAACGAACCCCCTTTTACAACTTTCTGTTTCTTCCTCAAAAATCGGTTTTCCTTCTGGTTCTCGTGGTCTTACTGCATACACATTCATACCCATATCGAAGTATAATACTAAGCATGAGTTCCTTGTCAGTGAAATGCCTGTTGCAATCAAGTGATTTCTCGCTTTTGGTTCTCCAAAAATGATTTTTTTCTCAGTTTTATTGAGTATACTTCGCCCAAAGAGAAGCATCAGAAGAAATCACTTTTTATGTACATTCATGTCTCGTTCTTCATCTTCTTCTGTACAATCACTAGCCATGTCAGAAGAAAACCATCACAATTGCGCAGATTATGCTGAATTGAGGAGCAATATGCAGAATTTAGCAAAGTCAAGTGGTATTACTAAAGCACTACAGGCATTCCGTCTTATGAGAACCGCTGCTCCTGGTAAGCCAACAATATACGATTACAATTCGTTGGTCAATTGCTGTTTGAAATCGGAAAATTTGTGTTCGCATGATCTTTCTACCCTGTATTCGGAAATGAAAACACTTGGATTATCCCCAAATGCATCCACTTTCAATACTTTCTTGAAGGGATTAAATCTTATCGGGGAATCAAAAGTTGCTCTTTGGGTCACCATAGAAATGTGTAATCATGCCTTTACTCCTTCATTTACTTCTTTGTCAACTTTGCTCAAGAAATGTTCAGATTCCATGGAATTAGAAGATGCAATTACTGTTCTTGAATTAATGATGGGATTGAATTACATTCCAACTGAACCACAAGTGATTTTGTTAATTAATCGCCTAAGCAAACATGGGATGACAGAAAAGGCTACCTTAGTTCTCTATAAACTATTAGACAAAGGTTATTTTCCAAGCCCATATATATACAACCCAATAATATGGTCTTTATGTGAATCTGATCAGATTAATATAGCTTTAGCAATCTTTTGTTCTTTAGAGAAAAAGGGTTTTGTACATAATGTCTGTTCATATACAGCTCTTTTTTACGGATTTTGTAAAAAAAGGTTATTTAAGGAGGCTTCAAATTGTTTGAACAAAATGACAACAAATAGTCGTTTCTACCCTAATGTGAGAACTTACACCACATTCATCAAGTGTCTATGTGACAATGGAAGGATACAAGAGGCATTAAGTTTGTTAGGTCGAATGGAAAAAAGAGGATTGGATCCTGATATTGTTACATATAACATAATTCTTCGTGCTCTTTCAAACCAAAATATGGTTCATGAAGTTTTTGACCTTTTTCAAACTATCTACCAAAAGGAACTTTCACCAGATCGCTATACAGCTACTGCTTTATCGGGACTACTCAAAAAGGGTAATTTAGGAATTGCGCGTACTCTTTTGCATGATATTTTCTATGGTGGAAGTGATATGGATATTGCGGTTTATAACGTGTACTATTGTCTCTTTTCTGGTTTTAAATCCAAAGAGTTGTCATATGTGATTGAATGTATGATAAAGAATGACATCGAGCCAAATAACATAACATTCAACACAATTCTAAAAGGTTTTTGTAAAGGGAAATCCATGGATGAAGCTCTAGAGTATTTTCAAAGTATCAAGAAACCCGATTTGGTGTCTTTCAACACGATTTTATCGGCTTCATGTAAAAAGGGTGATTCAAAAATGGTTGAAAAGGTGATTGATTTAATGAAAGATGAAGGTTTTAAGTTAAATGTTGTGGGGTTTACTTGTTTAATGCAATATTATTGCAATGTTGGAAAGCTTAATGATTGTTTAGATGTTTTTGAATGTATGATTTCTCAAGGTCCTCGACCCTCAATGGTGACAATTAATAGTCTTATGATTGGTCTTTGCAAGAATCAGGAACTTGAAGCTGCTTATCGGGTTTTTTGTAATTTAGAAAGTTATGGATTGTCATCGGATTCAAGAACTTATAAGATTCTTATGCGTGCTGCTAAGATTGAAGGGAATGATTTGTTGGTGGAGGAATTACAAAGGAAATGTAGGGGGGAAGGTGTGAAGCCGAATAATTGAATAAAAAAAAATGGTTTGATCTTAAAGAAATGATTACAAATGGGTTCCAATGTGGATTGGGGTCTTATGTATCTGATGTACATCTCACATGATTGATCTGAGGGCAGGCTGGTGTGGGCCAGCTTAGGGGTTGCTAGAAGAATAACCTTTTTCACAGAGCAATTTTCTTACCAGTGAATGGACAAGCTTTCTAAGGCTATTTTCAATTATGAGGGTATTCACGTTTTTTTCGCAATCTTTTTCCTACCTTTCATCGATGGGACAATAAATTGCATTTATTGTCACATTGACCACTTTTTTGGGTGGGACATTGACACCATTCCTTATTCCACTTTTTTGCATGAGACAATTTTTCCACTTTTTTTTTTGGGTGGGACAAAAGGCTGCATTTTTTTGTCCCATTGACATAATTTGTGGTCCCACCTTGTTCCACTTTTTGGGTGGAACAATAAATTTACTACTTTAGTCCTATTGACATCAGTTTGAGTCCTAATCTGACTTTTGTACAAGTGGCAATTCCATCTCTAGCAACCAAAAAAGTGAGTATGACACACACAAGCATCTATTTTCAGGTGATGTTAATACCTCTAGGAATTAATATGACAACTTGCGGGAAATCAAACCAAAACTTAATCGATTTGCTTTGTGAATAAAAACACATATATGTTTTTTTTTTATTTATTTATTTATTTATTTTTTTTTACATATGGTTCATTTTTATGGCAGGCTAAAAGTGTTACCATATCTAGTCAAGTGGCATCATCTTGATTGGTGATAAGAGTAAAGCTGAATGCTGGAAAAAGGTAAATGTCTCGTCATATAATTTTGTAGCAGGGATAAATGTAAGAAATATCAACATACTTGTATTTATTTGTTTATTATAACATTCTACTTTCCTTTCTTTTCTATTACAACACTTTGATTTTCATTTTTTGTTTTCTAATTAAGGAATTGTACTTTCATGTCTGCCTTGTCCTCTTAAATTCTGCCTTCTTGGGCCAAAAATCAGATTTTGTGTCCGAGACAATTGAAATGTGTTGAATGGGGATTATGTAAAATTAAAAATAAAATAAAATTAGTACACCTTTGTTCAAGTCTTGGAACTTACATTCCAAAGGATTACAATATTTCAAATCCCTTAAAATCTCTTGTTTGCTCAAAACAACCGACCATAATACCTATAGAACATGATGAAAATATGTTGATCAAATGATATAACAACTTAGACCAAAAAACAACAAAATTGTGAATAATATTAAAACAACTAACCATCATCCTCTTTTTGTCATAAGAAACATAAATTTAACAAAACTCAAAATGCTACCTGAGTCTTCTAAAAATCTTAACCTATTTTTGAGTCATTAGTTATTGGTTTAATTGTTTTTTTCGTTCTAATCAACGGTATATAATACTGATATGAAGTTATGGACCATGATTCATAACAAAGTTGAAATTTATCTAATAATTTCTACAACTTATTCAATGTGTCTGCCGCTCATATTTTTAACAAATTGTTGCATCAATATTACAATACTTTCTTCAAATTTATCTAAATAATATCTACAACTTATTCAGTTGTTATATATTCTAGTTGTTTAGTCGTCATAAGCGACGGGTGTGAATAATTTTTTTTCAGAATTTAGTTTCTAGAGACGATTGATTTTTTGCGCTTATAGTTTACTACATCTAAATAATTATTAATAAGAGTCCTTCTAGCAAATACGAAATCAATAAGAAAAAAATAAAGAGTTAGAATTTTTTACAAATATGTACAAACATATGATTAATTGTATATTATTAATTGTCTAATATTTTCTATCATTATATATATATATATATATATATATATATATATATATATATATATATATATATATATATATATATATATATATTTATATATATATATATATATATATATATATATATATATATTGTACATTGTTATTTTGTATAGAAAAATAGTATTTCGTTGGTTACAGTAAACAAAAATAAAACCACATTGTTGGTTTTTCGTTGAAAATAAGTTTTGTTATTGTTTTGAATTCAAAATAAAATTATGTTGGTGGTGATGATTGCTTTGTTAAATGTTACACTAAGTTGCTTTATGAGGTTAAAAATATAAGTACCGGTATTTTTTTGGTTTAAAAATACAAGTGTGTTTCTTATGTAGGGTAAATGGAAAGTACATCATAGTTTTCAGTAAAAAATAAAAATGTTTTTTTAGGTTAAAAATATAAATATGTTGATCTTTTAGTTTAAAGATATAAGTATGTTAGACAACAACTTACTTGTATCTTTTCGATTAAAGTTTAACTAAAATTTTAATTTAAGATGACTATTTAACATTATATTGAAATTAATAATTTAACTATTTTGCAAAAATCATAAACTATATAAAACTTGTGATTTTAAAATGATAATTGTTCACATATCACAACATATCTAAATTAATAAGTTAACTATAATATGTTAAAAAGTTAATGTCATAATTTTATTAATAGAAGTAAAATATGATATTTTAATATTCTAGTTTAGCTAATTTATGATAATAATTTAGTTTTTTGTGAGTTTAATATTATTAAACAATTTATAATAATTATTAGAAAGAAATTGAATGCATGTGGCTCAAGTAAAAATGGTCTTTTTTATAAGTAGAAATAAAGATGTTATTTTAATATTAAATTTTAGTTTATATATGATTACACTTTAGGTTTGATATTTATTTAACCTATAATTTAGTTTTTATTCTTCATCAAATTTAGTTGATTTTATCGATCAAATCCGAAAATTGATTTCGAGAAAAACAATTCAAAATTACAGTAATAATCTGACCCAAGTCAATTCTAAAGCAATCAAAGAAGAGATTACCTGATTGAGGAGTATAAATGAAACTACTCATCGATCGAATTCAGCTCATAGTTTTTATTCTTCTGCAAATTTAGTTGATTTTAACTATCGTTATTGTAAGTTATTTTAAGCTACTTATTTGAAAATTTTTAACGATTATAAAAATATATTTAGGAAATATTTTAGTTAAATTGAGATTACAATTTAGTTTTTGCATTTATCACTATAATTTATCACCTTTAATTGTTTACAAAATATTCTTTGGTTTTTTAAAAGAAATTGACATTTATATTTAAGTTGATATTGTAATGCTATATTTAAATTAACAATTTAAGTATTTTGTCCAAACTGTTCAAAAGTTGTAGCTTTAAATAGATAATGGTTTACATACAATAACATATTAAATCTTAAGGCATTGTAAGAGTTCAAATCTTTTATGTCTAGTCCTTATGTTTTTTTTTGTACGTGTATGTATGTCCTTGTAAATAGGGGTAAATATAAGGGTGAGAGTAACTTTTGTATCCTCGAGATCTTAAATGACTTTACTCTTCAGAACTCCTGTATTCTCTTAGACATAATCAAAGAGCCAAACATATTATATTTACATCTATGTTCTTAGTTCATTCCGTACTCTGATTTCTTCTAATACTTGATTCATACGAACTACAAGAGTGAATGGAACATTTAAACTTTGGAAGACATGCGCCAATCTTTGTGACTGATTTCGAAATTTCTTGGGACACCCATTTTCCACTAATTAAGTTCTCTTATAATAACAACTATCACACAAGCATAAAGGCCATACTGTTTGAGGATCTATACAGACAAAAATGCAGACCACTGTTATTCTGGGCAGAGGTTGGAGATACATAATTAGTCAGGAATCATGCATGTGATTCATTGTACACTAACCCATAAATAATCCTCAAGACTACAGAAAAGATTACACATATCAAGGAAAGACTTAAGGCTACATGAGACCGTTAAAAGAGTTATTATGCTGATGGGAGATGGAAGCGTTCCAAATTTGGGACAAAGTTATGTTGAAAGTCTAACGTTGGAAGGATATGATTTGTTTTGGAAGGAGAGGTAAACTAAATCCGTGATACATAGGACCCTTTGAAATTCTTGACAGAATTGGTCATGTGGCATATCGACTCAAACTACCTTAAGAGATGAGAAATGTACATGATATTTTTCATGTCTTGAACTTAAAGAAGTGATTGTCTGATGACATCCTTACTATTGTTGAGATAGGAAATTAAAGATTGATTTGCAAAAACGTAAGTTAATCTCAATGGATCTTATAGAAAGCTTAACAATATTAAATATGCATACTAATAAGGAAAGATATAACAACAAGATTAATAAGTAAATATAAGCAAGTAGAAATAATAATACTTAGTTGAATTGTAACAAGTTTTATATTTAAACACAAGTTAGCAAATGACGAACAACATAAGCAAGTGATGAATATAATGAACACTTGTATTCAATAAAGAGTAACACAAAGAAAGTCTAGGAATTGGTGGTTTTTAGATCGATCAACATGATCATTTATTTATAACTAAACTTGGTACATGATAAATAGTAAAGTATTCAATATTTAGGTGACCATGCTTGCCATGCTTGAGCTGACATAACTCAACAAACACACAATGTTAGAAAAGGTAAATATTACTTTTATGACATATAGGATTACAAAAGACAAAAAACAATTTACTCTTCGGGTCATCCTTCTAGACTTTGGTATCAGTTCTTTAATGTGATCTCCCAAGTCATCATAACAAAACCTACTGAGGGGCAATTTTCTAACAATTTCCCCCTAAGTGACCTCGCAACTATCTCTTTCATTTATCAAGTTTAAAAAACTTGATAATGAGCCACCAAAACTTCTTAACTTTTATTATCATTTTGATCCTTAGGGCTATTTCATACTTCACCTATTTAGTGGTGTTTTTCGTCTTCTACGCCATGGAGAGAGTTCCTTCCAGTTGTTTGGGAGAACATCAATGAAATGCAGTGGGTGGCAGAAATAACTTTTCACTATCTCCAGAAAGCCAAAAATCAATGACAAGTTCTGGAAAAGATGTTGCTCTGAGGCCCAAATCTTGAATCCATTCGTTGATGTAATTAGGGTGCTTAAATGG